AACGAATAGTTTAGTCTTATAAGGAACCGATAGGTGATCTTTCTGTTCGAAACTCTTCGAACCACACTACCTCAATATAAGACATGGAGTATGTATTGCATAAACAAATAAACTGCAAACATATGTACTTTGACCGAAACATGATGGCCAGATCAAAATGGAATTGATAGAATCTTCAAAGCATCGCTTCTACAACATACCTCTAACAAAGAGTCGGTCGAAATAGGCTCGCATAAGCTAGGATTGTTCGTTACTGTATTGCCTAGGAGTTTAATGACTTGTTAACTTGTCGTTCTAGTTTGTTCTCTTATTACGAAAAGTTATTGAGAATGAGTGAATCAAGAAGATACCGGAGTATGCGAGGTTTTTCAAAGGATCGAGGCAAGTATGCAGAAGCTCGAGAATGATGACAAGGTGTTGGTGTTTGAAGCGGCAAGTGTCTTCCAGCATGACTTGCCAAAGAAAGAAAAGGATACCGGAGGCTTTGTGATCACTATGGCCTTCGGGAATGTGGAAGAGACATCGGGGTTACTTGATCTTGGAGTAGGCACTAACCTCATGTCACTTGCAAATTATCACCGCCTCGGGTTTGAAGGCTTGAATCCCACCAAGATGTGCCTTCAGTTAGCAGATCGCTCGTTCCGTCAACCAGCAAGGATTGTGGAGGACGTACTCATCCAAGTGGGGAAGCTGATAGTCCCCGTGGACTTCGTTGTGCTCGACATGGGGAACGTGCATGAAAATGGGAAGCAGCACACCACTCTCCTTGGCCGACCCTTCATGGCTACCACGAGCACTGTTATAGACGTGAGGAAGGGGATGAACAGCATGATAGTATTAGGAAAGTCCATCGCCGTTTCTGTTCGAGAAACCTAGCCTGAGCCGCAGGAGAATGTGATGGAGAAGTGTGCATACATTCGGGCAATAGAGCAGCTGACTGAGGAAGCATGCGTGCGAGAGCATGCTAAGAGGTCATTGCAGGACCGATCTATCAATGATAGAGGATGCCGTACTGACCGCCAGCTGAGTTCCAGTGAGCTGTACCGATTTGAATGGGGCGAGAGGTTTGACTTGACAAAGGCCCGCCGCTGTTCGGGGCCTGACAACTTTCACCCTCCACCAGCACCACCGGATTCACAGTGACTAGTCTAGTCACTAAGCCCTGTACGTTTGTATTTTCTTTCCCTTCTCTTTATTTTCTTTTTGCTTTAGTTTTCCTGTCTTGGTTTTTCTGTTGATTGACTATATGGGTTAACTTTCCTTGCATTTAAGATCGACAATGGGGATATTGTTCGGTTTTATGTGTGGGGGAGTTTTTACATGATTATGTACTTGTATGGTTGATCAGGTATAGGTCTTTAGGTTGTTTTCTTTTCTATTTTATTGTCCTTTCTTGAGTCAGTTTGTGTGTTTTTTAGTATGGATTATGGTGAATTTTAAGATTTGTTGATGATTGTTGATGATGTTGAAGAGATGTGATGATGACCATGACCAGTATGCCTTGATGAACTTGATGTTTCGTTTTGCTGGCAATTTATTTACCTTATGTGAACGTTTGAGCCTTCTTTTATTTCTTGAGAGATTTTGGTCGGATTCGTTGTTGATCAGAACTTGCTTATAGTCTATTTTGAAATGAAGGGATTGAAGTAGTGAATTGTGAAAATGATTGAGGCATTTCTTTGACATTGCTCGTTTAGCCTTTTTATTTGACCCTTGATGTGAAATGTTCATTAGTAGCCCGTTGAGCTTGAACCGTATTTCTTGTCAACCGTATTGATTGAATTTCATGGGATTTGATAGTTTAGTTATTTTAATGATGGAGCTTCTATTTTGTGTTGGAGAAAGGGTATAATTTCTTTGAGTTGCATTTTGGTTACTTGACAAAAAAAATAGGGGAAATTGCAAGACGAACTTAAGGATTCTACTCCGCTTACTTGTGGGATTTTCATGAGTAATGAGTATTGGGAAACCACTCTAGGAAACTTGGATGTCCTCCAATGTTTAAACCTAGAGAATGTCGTCCTTTTGTTTCAGTCATGTTAGGAAAAAGCAACTTCCCTAAATAATAAAAAAAATGAATAATAAAAAAAATAAAAAAAAAATAGTCGAGTACCTGAGTTGCAATTCAATTTGAGCATATCTGAGTGTTGCATGGAGTTTTGATGGAAACTGTTGGTTTTATGCTGAATTTGGATAAGTGGTGAGGCATTCGAGTAATTTATATGCTCGAGAGTTGATTGTTTATTTGAGCCATATTATCTTTATTTTCGTTTTTCCCTTGCCCGAAAGTCCTCTTGATTTACAATTCATGATCTTTGATTGATTTTGAGTATGAATAGACGATAGTCAAGTTTATGTGATACATGATGATAGACCAATTTGAGCGAACCCATTTCATATTCATGAAAGAAATCGAGTGAGGCATTTATGGATTATATTTCTGTGCTTGAGAGTTTGTCGTTTCAAGATGTTGCATTCAAGTGTAGTTGAGATATGCGTGATTGGTCATTGGAATTCTCCTCGGCTAAGTTGATAAATTTGAGACTTGTCTTATCTAAAACTGTTATCCATGCTCGTTTGCTTGTTTTTGTGTCTTTTCTTTCCTTTTTGTTCGGGACGAACAAGAGTTTTAAGTGTTGGGGAGTTGTTTGTCCCATTTTTGTTGCTAATTTTTTCGGTATTTTGTGTGTCGTTTCTCCCGTTTGAGGTCATTTTTTAGGATTTTTTGGTCCTTTTTGTCGTTATTGTGTTTTAGTATTGTTATTTTGTGTGTTTCGTTTTTTCATTGTTATTTCTTCTATTTTCTCTTTCTTTTGTGTGTGTTCGATGGTGGTGTTTTCAGGTTTGCGGGAGTTCTGCATCGATTTGTGAGACTAAAGCATTCGAGAATTGAGTTTTTAGCTCGGGGAAGACCCGAGGGATGCTAGCCGAGAGCTTGTGAGCCCAAGACGTCGAAGTTTAGAAGTAGCCCAGACCATAGCGCCGCTAAGGGCATAGCGGTGCTAAGAAAGAATGGAAAAGCGGCGTGTTAAGACATAGCGATGGGCCGCAGCTCGACCTTTCCCAGCCTTAGCGGCGCTAAGGGGTTAGCGTCGCTAACCTCTATTTTGTAACAGATGCGGTTTTCTCGTGATTTCGAATTTGGGATGAAAAGGACCGAGCCTAGGGCATTTTTATAGATTCCCAGACTACGTTTTTTGTACTTTTCTTCAGAGAAAACATAAATCTCTCTTGGTTTTTCAATTGTGATTGGATTTGGAGAGTAGAAAACTCCTTTTCTCGCTTTTGGATTCAGTTTGCTCTCGTTTTCGACATTGGATATCAATCGTAAGCTTTCTTTTCATTTAGTCAATGATTTTGATGGCTTGGATTATTAATTATTTTGATGTTGAATCGATCATTAGTGGCTAAATTCATATGCTAGGGAATAGAGGATTGATGTTTTGAATTCGTTTGTGATTATCATGTTCGTGATTGATCAATTTATGCCAGTTAATCTTTAATTAGGGTTTTTCAATCATTATTTTGGATTTTGAGAATTGTTGAAGGGTGACACTTCAACTTGCAATTGTTTCAATTGAATTTGATAAATTCATGCTTGATGTTGTTAATGCTAAACGGGCTAGTTGATTAATCATCTTTTAGTCTAAGTTAATCGACACTTCGAACCGAAGGGGGAGGAGTCAGTCGAAATAGGCTTACATAAGCTAGGCTAGTTCGTTACTGTATTGCCTAGGAGTTAAATGACTTGTTAACTTGCCGTTCTAGTCTGTTCTCTTGTTATGAAAAGTTATTGAGAATGAGTACTTGAACATGTAGATTATTCAAATCACTTAACTGGACAATCACTTGCTTGATAATCACATTTCGAACTAAAACGGACATCCCCGACTCCCTAGCTTCGCTAATCCTATCTGTTCTACGTTGCTTGTTATTTACATTGCTTAATATAGATCCTCGTATTAGTAGATAATTAAAATATCAACCCAAATCAATTGAATTAGAATGTCTACGATTTTTATTTCTTTCATTCATGTTTGAATAAACGAACATAGTATTCCGGCTAACCTTCCTCGTGAGACACGACCCGGTGTCGAATCTTTTGATTCAACTCCGGAAAAATATTTACTACAGTGTTGGCTACAACCACGCTTACTCAGTCCTATTACGATTCTCGACCAAGTCGATGATTTAGCCTGATGGTCGACTCCACAACCGGAGCTCGCGAGGATGCATGACACGTTCTATGCCTCATGATGGAGGAAACATGTACGTTATCTCGGGGTACATGTGAACCGTGACGAACTGCATGACAAGCAGAACCCTACCTGTATGGAGGTACCGGTTACCTGTTGGAACGTAGGGTCCATCAAGGAAAGGCCGGGAGGGGTACTCGTCAAAGTCCTGTGTGGGGGTTGTCAAGGCAACGACAAGACGACTTGGGAGATGAAGAACGAGATTCGAAGAAAGTACCCGAATCTCATGATTTCCCTTTTATTCTCGATTGTGTCATGTCGTAGTTTGTTTTCGAATCCCGATGACGGAATTCTTTTTAAGGTGGGTAGACTGTAATGCCCCGTTCGATTATGGATTTTTCGGATATTTTTAGAAATTACTACTATTATTATTATTATTATTATTATTATTATTATTATTATTATTATTTATTTTATTTAATTACCAAAGTAAAATAATTGTTTGATAATATATTTATTATTGTGTGCAGAATAAATATATATTGCTGGATTAATTTTAATTTTTCCGAATGTCGTATTTTATTATGAGCATCGTAGATATTATCGTATTTAAAAAATCGAGCTCGAGAAACCAGTAGTCGAAACTGGCCATGACCCCTTCGCCCGAACCTAACCCGCGACCCACTTCTTGAATTCCTTGGAGAGCAAGTTTTTTCTTTCTAAAAACCTAGGTATAATTTTTTTCTTATTCTTCATGACACGCCGCAACCCTTAAAACTCTCATATCTCTCGTACAAGAAACAGAAGAGAAAAATCTCGTCGCTCACCTTCATCGCGCAAGAAAAATCTCCTTCTCTCATCTCTATTGATTATCATCGCTCATCGCCATATCGCGCAAGAAAAATCTCCTTCTCTCATCTCTATTGATTATCATCACTCATCGCCATCATCATCGTTCAAAAAAAAAGAAGAAGAAGAAGAAGGAAGAAGAAGCCTTCTCTTGCGACCACCGGCAGACAAACCCTGCCACTGCGAGCATCCCGTTTACCCTCTTCCGCCATGGACCTGCTCTCGCGAAGTTCCGGCAATCGCCCCTGCTGCTCATGTAAACCAGCAAGATGACCCACAGGCACCTCCGCTAGCCACTCGTCGCTGCCCTCAACCTACCGGCGATCATCACCCTCTGCTACTCGATCTCAGAATTCCAGCGCAGCACCTTCACGAAGCCCGAGGCCCCGTCACGCACTGTCGCGAGTCGAGTGTAACCATTAAGCGCCACGACTATTGACCCCCGTCAGCCCCTCTCTTGTTCGTTTTCGTGTGTTAATCCTGAGAACGGTACTTGATGGCTTAAACCCTTTTATTTTATGTGAAAATATGAGAATTGTCGTATAATCTTGTTAGGGTTTTATTCTTGTCGGATATGTGGAGCTCTATGTGCATTGTGTAGAGGTCTTGTTGAGAACATGTCAATTGTGAACCCCCCCC